GTAAAGGGTTCCTGCCTAGGCAGGGTGTTGGACTAGAAGACCTCCAAGGTTCCTTCCAACTCTGCTATTGTATTAAATTACATGTTATGATTTCTTTGTTTCTCTGGGGCTCATGCATCCAAGTGAAAGGCATTGGAAAAAGCACAACTTAATTGGGCACACATGAATCTTCCCAAATTTTAATCTTAAAAAGGTACAGGAAATCTCAAACCAACAGAGCATAAAACTATTGGTTAGGCAGTTGATTACCAGTAGCAGCTTTTGAACTTTTTTTTTTTAAAGCCAGTTTACTATTGAACCCATTTTTAAGTTTGCTAAATTAGATTAGACAGTTAGAATAGAATAGCAAGGAATTTAATAATAAAGCTGTGCAATGGATGCAAATTAACATGGATTTTGATCCCCTAGCACAAGCTTTTGGTGATCAGGTTTCTTCAAAACATCTTCTAGGGGAACAAGTGTCACAGGGATCATATGAAATGAGTAGTACCAGAGTTATATATTCTCCCATTCTTGGAGAAAGGAATTTCTCTGCTGTTTTTACACTGATTTTTGTTCATATACGAAGTATGTGAAAATGAATATTGGTTCCTACAACCACAAGTTTCCCATATCTGATTTTTAAGAAGTGATTCTTTTATAAACCACTAAAAATTCAATAATGCCTTTCTCAATGTGACATGGTACAATTTGTTAAAGATGAAAGCATCCCCATAATGATATTCATTTTTTCCTGTTTGACCCAAAATCATCAGACCTACATTGGTTCACTTAGAGCAGTCAGTGCCCAAGTTTATACTTGCAAATAGGCCAATCACTTTTCCTCATATCATCATCAAATAGCATCATGACACAGTGCCCCAGAAGCAGCACTTAGCAACATCCTTTAAGGAGAGAATAAGAGCGTAGAGCTATGGCTAAAATGTCAGAAAACCAGACTGGAAAATTCTATGTAACTCATCACACATGACAAAAGAATATGTGTAAAAAAAAATGCTGGCACCAATTTTTAAAAATTGGAGCACTTTTGAGAGAGAAGATACAAAATACAGTACTTGAAGAGGGTGCAGTAGCAGAGAAAAGAATGCAATTCTTTGTCCAACCAGAGTTGCTCCATTTCAATTATGTCCTCCTCCAATTTTCTTTTCCTCTCTCCAGATAATTTCAAATGTATCCACATTGCTGTCAGTATTATCTTTCATGCATCTACAGTTAAAATCCCTCTAAATTCGAAGGAGTTTCATACCAATGGCATGAATATTAAAAACATAGGAAAAGGAATATGTTTGTTATTCGCAGTTAAACTGTTTTGTGTTTTCCATAATATTAGAGTATGAAATAATAGCAGCTCAGCTATCAATTGCATTTTATATTGAATGCAAGCACTTACACTGTCTTATGACTTATCTTTTTGCTGTGCTGAAAAGTTTACCAGGACATGTACTGGATACTTCCAGACCACTTAGTTTATCTGGAGTTCAAACTAGTACATGCCAGAAGATAAATATCACCTGACAGTTACATTCCATCAGGAATATTGTATTATTAATGTTCAAGAGATCGACAAAAATGGCCGAGCTCTACAGAGAAACGCTGTAGTTCTCAGAACAGCTGGTACATTAAAATAATAGCCAAAATATCCCAAACCATGGTTGATCCAAATATGAACTGGAATAAAGCAACTTGCCATTGGGAAAAAAATATTATAACAAATAACAAATACAGAAGTGAAGCAAAATGTAGGTTTCTATAACTCCTTACAATTCTACGAAGATGTGGTCAATTTCAGGCCGAGGACAGAAGTTGCTCAAAAACTCCCTGTATATTTCTGGAGTGAAGTCGTCTTGAGGAATTGAATCATTCTGGAGAAGAATTAAAATACAACATGTAATGATTTCTCAAATTGTTGTTCTTTTTCAATTGTTCAGTCTTTATCAAAACTTTCAATTGCTAACAGTTCTACTATTTCCCCCCCCCCCTAATTTAATTGGCTCCTGTATCTCCTTGGAGTTTTGTTGAATATTTGTTACAGATTGAAAAGCAAAGCCAAAGGCTATACCAGAGGTGGGATTCACTTACTTTCCTTACCAATTTGCATATGTGCACGTCAGTAGTGGGTTTCAAAAATTGTTTGAACCTACTCTGTGGGTGTGGCCTCCTTTGTGGGAGTGGCTTGCCACCCATGTGACCGGATGGGAGTGGC